TCTGTTTCTCGATTTAGCCATCTTGTCTTGGTTAACCACATTTTAGCTTTAAAATCTTTGAGAAAGATCTTTGTATCTGACTGTGAGATTCAATAAAAGAGTAACCTTTGAATTAACAGAAACTGTGTACAGAAATCCCTGATTCATCTTTGAAATTGCAATATTTTCATGTAATGTGTTAGTCCCAGAGGGGTAAACGGGACACTCATACACTTTTATCTGTGAGACATACAAAATAGCCAGTTCTCAAAGGAATATATGTCTGTTAGGTTTTAATAAAGCTGAAAGCTTGCCTATGCTTTTTAAAGAAGGTATATGAATTCTTCATCTTGCTGTTTCTTCGTGTTCAAAAACTCAGAATATTTAACCATAAATCTGTACGTAAATATTGCTTGTACATGTTAGAGTATTCTCCTCTGCACTGAGAAAAATACTATGATATTTTGCTTAAAATACTCAGCTTTTTTATTTCATTGGTAATGGTTTAATAATTTAACAACATAACTAGAAATCAGATAAGATATTGCTTGCTAGAAAATCAGATTGTTTTCTGTTCTAGGATGTTAATTTTGAGATTTTATAGTCCTAGCAAAAAAAAATGGCTTTTGATTTGGAATGGTGTGAAAAATGAAGTTTGATTATTCTTTATGATTTTAAATGGTGTGATACATACTTCAGATGAATTGTCCTTTATTTTAATTTATTTCCTTATTAGTGGCTCAGGAACAAAACTATTTTCAAACATTATGTCTATTTTAAATTTAATCCTGTTGAAGGTGATTTAAGGAACTCTGGCCTTACTCATTTTATAGATTACAAATATGTTCAATTCTCACAAATATTATATGCTTTCTTTGTAGGTGCAGTTTAGTAAAGGTTCCCAGTTTAACATCTGGTTTGGTGACTTTTCTTTTTCAGGCAGTCTATATTGCCCCCTTAAAAGCACTTGTCCGGGAGAGAATCGAGGACTGGAAAGTTAGGATTGAAGAAAAACTTGGTAAAAAGTATGTTTCTCCTTACCTAATCAGAGAAATGAGAAGCAAAAGAACAGCCCATCAAGTATGAATAAAATCGACAGAATACTTTTGAGTACTTCAGAATAGGTTTTGATTGTATACTATCTTTCAGATTTCTAGTACTTCAAAAAATCTATCGATACTTGTCGTGGTGGCAAAATCAAAACTAAGAATGGGATACACTTTGATACCCCAGCTATTTTCATTCTCATTGCTTGCCAGTAGAACAAATGTGAAGCTCAGATTTCACTCTGCAATATCCTTGGAAATTGAAAACGTTACTCAAAAGAAGTTTTGCTTAGAAACCTCAGCTCTAAGGAACATACAGGGCTTGGATGGGACTGTATGCTAGTAATCATATATTGTCCTTCATATATAAATTAGTTAAAATTGTATTCCTTGTAATACTAATTTTGTGCTGATCCTCTTGGGAGTTCAGCCATTACTTTAACTTTGTAAGTTATATCAGTCATGCTGATGCTTTCCAAAAGCATAGTTTCCTGAATTAAAATTTGTAGCCATAGGATGCATTGTTTAGGGCCTGCTTTGTCTATGCACAGCTTTTCCCTAAGTTAAACCTCAAATCACACTACAGGTCTCAAGAGAAAGAGATGTTACTCTGTGTACATGACATGACCAGTGACATATTCCTGTTATCATAGCAGTGAGTTAAAATATTTTCAGGTGATATTTCCTGTCTGAAATTTACAGTTACTTGTGACTGAAATTATGAGTTGAAGATACACATTACTTTGAGGAATTTCTATCAGAGGTTCAACTGGATGTGGAATGTGTCATGCAAGTGTCAAAAATCCATTATAATGGATCCATCTAACATGATGCATCATCTCATATGCTGTTTGTAGAACTTGAAAGTATAACAAGGCAAACAATTGGAAAAACTCTGCTAATATTCCCAAAAACTGATCTCAGCATAATTTCTGCTCCAGTCTTAATGGACCTCCACCAACAAATGCAATACACACTGCAGTTTAGCCTTGTTATTTGAACCAGAGATCTGTGCAGAACAGCAGGCAGCAACCGAGTAACTTTCTATAAAACTTTCATCCTGGCTATGACAGGATGTTATGATTCACATTATATCATACTCATATTCTGTTATCTTCATTTTGAAAAGCTAACCATAGATGCTTTGGGACTCATATTTGTCCTTTTTATCTGGTTTGGCTAAGGAATGATGTTTAGTATTTAGATGGTATTCACTAGGAAAGCAAAGAGACAGGTTTGTTTGTTTAAACCAGTTTTGAAAAGCCTGTTAAATGTATTTGACACGAAACAAAATTGCTTTCTTTAATTTTGTTTCTTCACTCTTACAAGAATTTAAGTTTAGGAGTGAGTATTTGAGCACTAAGATACTGTAAAGCCAAGCCACCTTATTTCTTGATTACAGGGTTGTGGAACTGACAGGAGATGTGACTCCTGATATGAGAGCTATTGCCCAAGCTGACCTGATTGTTACTACCCCAGAGAAGTGGGATGGTGTCAGCAGAAGCTGGCAGAACAGAAGCTACGTTCAGAAAGTTGCCATTCTTATCATAGATGAGATCCATCTTCTAGGTGAGCATGTTTTGTTGTTTTTAATCAGAATCGTTGCTAAATTTGAAGTGTGTTGGTACTTATGATGTGATTATACATTTTGACATCTGAACCTTTTCTTTTTCTCTGTTTTCCAATGGACTTTTCATTTACTAGGGGATGAGAGAGGCCCAGTGTTGGAAGTCATTGTGTCCCGGACAAACTTCATCTCATCTCACACAGAGAAGCCTGTAAGAGTGGTTGGTTTATCCACTGCTTTGGCCAATGCCAGAGACCTTGCTGACTGGCTAAACATTAATCAGGTATGGAAAAAGGTTTTTCAGAGATGGATATGTGTTTGTCCCACAGAAAAATAGCAATTTATAGGATTAAACCTGAAAAAAATGTTGTCTTGCAGATGGGTCTGTTCAACTTTCGCCCCTCGGTTCGGCCTGTCCCCCTGGAGGTGCACATTCAGGGCTTCCCTGGCCAGCACTACTGTCCTCGCATGGCCAGCATGAACAAACCTACATTTCAGGGTAAGCAACAAGCTCCTAGACCTTTTCCTGCTTTCTGGAAAAGCAAAAAATGACTTTACACAGTTCATTTGCAGCACATTTGCAACATCTGTTACTGTATGTACTCTTGGCATGTAGAGGGAGAATCTGCTCTGCTAATGGCCCAAAGCTATTTGTCTGAAATGTAAAGTGTGCTGCAAATGCAACATGTAACAGTGGAATGTAATGGATTTAGAACAGAGGAATAAAATTAGTGCTAGTGAAGGAGAAATAAAATGTGTTTTCTCTTAGCGTTTGACACCATAAAGAAACATTTGTGTAAAAATATTTGAAATTTAGAAAGTTATAAGACCATTCATATTATTAATCTGCTGAGGTATTTTCATATGACCCACTGCATGTCAGCATTAAAAAAATTGTGAGCAGAAGTTGCAAGTCAGGCTAACCTCCTATAATTCTAGTTTCAAAGCAATAACCATAACATTCAAAATTTGCAGTGCATCCAGATATGCTTCTGTTTCCAATTTTTTATTCTTAACCAAGCTGGCAAGCAGGACAGATTTAAGAAAAACTCTGGTATTTTATTTGAACATGTTTTGGTTTGGTTACATAAGGAATATTTATTATATCAATTAAAAATAACCTCCAAAATAAATTTTCTCATGTGAACTGCTGTTGATTGTGAGGTGACATTTGTGAGGTGACTTTTTAGCTGCTTTAATTAGCCTTATGACAGAAGCAAAGTATTGATTGTGGACTAGAGACCAATCTTGACAGCTCAGATTATTTACACCTCCACAAGAGCATTGTACAAAAACACTAATGAACAATAAATCTGTCCTGGGCTGTTCTGCCACACCTGTTCCTGAAGCAACAAAAATCCATTAGATGTTGGGCTTTTAAAATATATAGATATATTGGCATATATAGTTGTAAGATATAAATACACATGAATTATCCTATTTCAATAATTTCACAACTGCACAGTGTGTGTATATGCAGGAGCACATGCTGGGTAGTATTCATGAACTGGGGAGCAATATGTGATGTGGATAATATGAAAGAGTTTTCAGAAATTAACAATGCATGAATTTAATTGCTAGAATGAGAATTGCATGAGAAAACACACAAACGGATTTCTAAGAGATTTAGAGAGAGTATTTGAAATTCTAGGTACACCTGTTTATGCTTCTAGTGCTTGCTGATGTCAGAAAATGTGTAGAAATATGGTTTATTGAAGGCATTTGTTTGACAGGATACAATCAAGGTTATTTTAGCAATTTCATGGCAATACTTATTCCTGAGACCATAAAAATTTCACTGCAGCCTGGAACTTTTCAAAGATGGGCTGAGAAAGAAATTGGCTTTCTAAAAAATCCTAAACTGTAATTAGTTTAAATATATGAGACTAATTAGCAAACACAGAAGAAAGGTTGTCTTGTACCCTAATGCCAACTTTGACAGCAGCTATTGAAAGGTCACTTTATGCTCTTTTTTGCATTTTCTGATTTTGGTAGATTGAAGTGATCCTTTGCAGGCAGACATGAGATTCTGCAGTCTGAGCTCTGGGTCAGGCAGGAAGAAAGTTTTGGACCTTGATGACACTTAGTGTGAGACAACATACCCCAATAGGGTAGAAAAAACATTAGCATAATTATTAAGCTGAGATAGAGAAATTCACAAGCTTTGAAGACTAGAGAGCTTGTCCAGGTTTTGTGGTGTTTTGTTGGGGTTTTTTTCCTGACTGATTCTCTTCATTGGCTTGCAATAATCACTGAAGTAGCAGGGTAAATTAACTCAGACTCAGCTAAGTGTGACTATATGGTCTTTGGTTCAGAGGTCGTATATGCTCACCTCAGTTGTATCTCTCTGGCAGGGTAGAGACTTAAGTATACATACCAATAGCATCTGCAGAGATCTATCAGCTGTCTAGGTATTGCAAAGAGAAACTGATTTTTGACATTGGAGGGCCTAATTTTCATCTTCTGTTTTCCTCACCAGCAATTCGAAGTCATTCTCCAGCCAAGCCTGTTCTTATTTTTGTGTCATCCAGACGTCAGACAAGGCTTACTGCCTTAGATCTGATAGCTTTCCTAGCCACTGAGGATGATCCCAAACAATGGCTGAAGATGGATGAAAGAGAGGTAAAATCACCTTACCTGCATTATTCATGCTTTGCTTCTATTTTATTGATACTTGTTTGATTAATGAAAAAAATATCTAAAACAAAAGAGTCACTGGAGGGCAAATCTTGAAAGAGTTATGCATATGCTAAATTTCCGTATGTATTAAAAGTAGTGTCAGCATTAAGACTATATAAGCGTCTGTGCAAGAGCTGAACTTCAGAACACAAACTCTTTTATCTTTGTTTTTTCCTGCATATCTATTATTAATGCTACTTCCATTGTCCCAGACAACATTTATCACATGGTACAAGTCTTTGATACAAAGATAAGACAAAAAGACCAGAAGAAAGAGGACTAGTGTTCTCCAAAGTTTACAGCTGGACATCTGTGACTTTAGATGCTCAGCTGGAATTTAAACCAAATCTCTTTAAGTGTTCTAGGAGAAAAATCAACCTTCTCATCAGATCTGCTATGTATATGCATATATATCTGTGTGTATACATATGTACAATGGATGTACTTGCATCTGTCCATCTATATTCATGGATGGATGGATGGATGGATGGATGGATAGACAGACAGACAGACAGACAGACCACAGAACCAATCATTTAGGAATGGTTCAGACTTGCATATCAAGGAAATAAATCCATGATATAATAAAAAATTAAGACGACTTCTGCCTATATCTTTGTTATAAGAACATAAAGATTGCAGAGTCAAACACTTAGATGTTAAGCAATGCTGGAGTCAAGGTTTATTTTTTACTCTTTTTCAAGCATTTTCTTCTTTTCTTTTTCAAAAAAATCCTGCTTTTGTTTATTGCAAAACATGAATAATGGTTAAATAATTAACAGCTATTCAATATTCTCTTTCATCTGCATTCTTCAAGCTGTATACCAGATTATATTTAATCCACTCAGTTCAGCACTTGCTCTGAATATAGTATTATTTATTTTCTTTTGCACTAATGGTCTAGATTATAGTATAGCATTGATTCCAAACAGTATTTTGATTGATATTCAGATTTTCTAGATTTTGGAAATTAGCTTTTTGTAATGGTACATTGGAATTTCTGTGATAATTTAGGGCCAAAACACCAAAATGTAGGACTCATAAATAAAAGATCCAAATTGAATACTATATGAATGTCATATATACTGTATGAATATTTATATTTCAACAGTTTTATGAATGCTTATACAGTTGTATAACAAATATGCCAAAAAATGTATAGGTTTCTAGATTATATTATTTGTGTTTGTTTCCTCTTTAAAAAAAAAAAAAGAAAAAAACAAACCCAGAATATGATTTTTCAAAGATAAAACATAACATCTGTATCCTTCCTGTTTTGGATGGATTTTAAAATAGCAAAAGGCTGTCTTGGCTGATAAACTACTAACGCATGTCTCAACTGCTTTTCTAACTGTATAACCTCTATTTAAATGTTTTCTTGAGTATAACAGAAATATTTCCCATCCAAATTATTACTACTTCGTAGAGTACTGCAGTGCCTTGTGCTGGTTTACTGTAGTGATCTCACCTACAATTAGAATATGCAACGTGCAGCTTGCCCTAAATGACTTGCATTAACATGATTAGCTTCTCCATGTCCTGAGAGCCACAACTGTCCTGAAAAGAACTCTGAGTGAAGCTTCTTCACTTGCTGGAAAAGGGTTTTCTATTAGGAGTCTTTGAATTTCATGTTTCAGAATAAACCTCTGAAGGTTTTGAAAGAGGAGCCAACAAGGACAAGCAGACTTTGCATTTATTAGTTTAATAACATTTGCATATGATTTGTATTTGAATTAATAAGCCAAATGTTTGGAGCATGAGGTACCTACCAAGTTACTCAGTTCTGATTACGTAAATGGAGAAGACTGAGGATTAAGTTCTAAGTTGTTATATCTTACCACTATTATGCAGCACACAATTCTGTTTGAAGTACCCACAATTTCAAGTGGACATTTCTTTAGGTAATTATGGGGCTAGTTTGTAGTTTTATGTTTTAAATGAGCATGATTAGCTTGAGTTTGGTTTGACTTTGAAGCAAAGGACAAAGCTATAGTAGTGCTGCATACACAGTGTATATCTTGACTAATTCTTTATCCATAACAATTTAATGGGTTTGTATTTACAAATTTTAACTTCCGCTTAGGTTAAGGTCAGGCTTAGACTAGGTGAAATAGACAAAATTCTCACCATATTGCTATAAGATTTTTAAGTATTAAAAGTAGAACTAGTAAATACTATATAGTAGGTATTCTCTGTCTTAAACCCTTGCCCAAATTCTTCGAGTGTTTCTCAATTCCATATAGGATAAAAATAGACCATTTAGGAGATTTAAATTGTTGCTGCCTTTAAACAACATTTTCACATTTGTTGTTTTTTCCAACCACTGTTCCTTTAGGGGAACTTAGAGAAAAATTGGTTTATTTTGAAAATATTTGTAATTGTTTAATGTGAAGTATGTTAAGATAGAAGAGATTTTTCATGTGTGTATGCAAATTTAACAAGCTTCACCACAGACCTTGGTTTTTCTTCGTTCAGCCTTATTTGTATAATATTAATTTTGGCTGGCATTGGATTGCTTTGACAACTCTATAGTTAGTTTTGTTTAATGGTGTAATTGGTTTTGCTACATGATGGCTAAAAGTTAGTCTATGTTTGTGTTAGCTTCCCAGTGAGTAAACTTCATAAGGCTTCATGAAATGTCATTAAATGCCATCTATAATAATGTCTAAAGGATTGATATTGAGGTAGACATAGATTCTTGTAGTCATTAAAAGTAGTTTTTCTGTGTTACACTGCATGGCAGCTTTTCTGTGATGGTATCAGAGAGATTCAGGCCTTGTGGGGAAGAGAGTGGACTAGGGTAGAGACCAATACTGGATTTTTGTTACCTGTTTACAGCTCTGCCATCACCTTAGCTTCCCTCATCTACTCTGTAGAGATTTTCCCAGTAGTGGTAGTGCCAAACCAGGCTCTTGTTTGCAGCTTGTGGGTGATTCTGTTCACAAAACTCCAAACTGGTTCTCTTCACAGTGCTCTCAGATAACAGGCAGATCCACCTCCATCCCTGCCACATGGCTCCAAGTATCAAATTCAGACTATATATCAGTCAGTTATGTTTGAAACAACATGAACTTTGATGAAACTTCTGGATTACGTATTTGTATGTCTATAATACAAGGAAACAACCCTTCAGCTGTTGCCCTCAAAGTAGATAACAGCATGCCTGGATCATGGAGGAATCATACAAGATCTTCTTTTCCACAAAGGAGTCAGGAGTGTAAAAAGTCCAACTGAATTATAGTCGAGAAGGAAATTTGTTATACATCCCTCTACCAAAAAATATATATGTTATAGACAGCTCCATTAGGTTTTGGAGGTGGTTCTTCCCAGGTGCTTTTCTTGAACCTCATGTCTCTTGTGCAGTTTCCAGCTCATACCTGTTAAGTTTGCAGAAAGTTGAGACAGCAGTCAGTCCCCTATCAGTCTACTATTCAGAAGACTGAATAGTACTTGATAAAAATTGCTGTTTCTAGTACTGATCAGTTTTCTAGTTCGACTGGACATGTTGCTGCACTACACTAGTTAGATTGGTTTAATAGATTTTATCCAACAAAGTTTCAGGCCATGTGCATGCTTTTTGTGAAGAAATATCCACTCAAATACCTCAGATCTAGCTTAGATGACCAAGCAAGCCTCCAGTGATGTGGAAATACCCTACTTACCAAGGTTTGTAGCTGATACTTCAAAGCCCATCCCTACATTTTCCTGTTGCGCATGCAGACATTCTTCAGGATTTAGGCAAGACTGCCACAGTTTGCCCAGAGTATGTGTGTGCAGTCTCTTGAAGAAGAAATAACTATCTTACTGCCTTAGAGGTGTTTAGATGTGCATTGTCCATACACATTCCAGAGGAGCTCTCTATCCATCTTACAATATGCAGCCCCAACACAGAGTTTATTTTTCATCTTGCCATCTGTAGTAGTTGCAAGGATTCTTCATTAGAGATGATTCTGTAAAGATTGTCCTGGTTATATTTGCAAGGCAGAGGTCTATCATGCCAGAAATGTGGCTAGGCAGTGCAACTCAAAGAGAAGACTGCACCTGTAAATAGAGTTGTTCTTTATTTGTTTTTCTTCTTCACTGATGCCAATGTGCTAATGGGAAAAAAAAAACTTATGCTTGCCATGCTTTTTTGTATAATCACTGGATGAGTTATAAATAAACACTTCCTAGCTAAAATTCAGATTTGGAGTTGTCAGCCAGGACTGTCATGTTCAGGCTTGTGACCCATCACTTAACTTGTTAAAAGGGACGATAGCTCAGATGATCCTTTTGGAAACAGACAGTGCCACCAGTTTGGTGAGCTTGTAAGATCACTTAGAGTGCTCTATATTAGGAGCTGGCTGAAGAGGAGCAAGTCCTTTTTCACAAATTGCATTACATTTGTGGTGGTGGAAAACATTACAGTCCTTTTACAACATAATTTATTAGAATCAAGTTTTCAGTTTATTTATTTTTCTCTAATGCTTTTACAGCTTTTTGTTTTTAACCTAAACCAAAAGTACAAAGTAGTATTTATGGTTTATTGTTTGAAGTTAGAATGCAGTTCTCACCAGCAGATGAGCAGGGTGTTTTCTTATTTTGTTGGTGGGTTGGTTTTTTGTTATTTATCCCCTGTCCAGATTCTTGGATTTTTTAATTATTTTTTTTTAGATTTACAGTGGAAGGAGAGAGAAGAAACGTACCAATGCACATAGTCTTAACTTGAAGCACAGTGATTTTTGCATTCTGCTTTGTGCATCATTTTGCCATCTGCATCTTGTTAAGACTGTTCTTTATGAAACCTCTAGAAATAACTAATATCCTTTAGCACAAACATACCTACAGTAACATTCAGTCACATCCCTGTCAGGCAGGAGTTAGTTTGCACTGAATTAAAGAGCCATTGAAGGAAGGGCATTCATTGCCTCCAAAAGAATGAGTCAGGTCTATACTGATTTTGCCATTTTGGACCTGTGAGTACATAAACATATGTGTACTAATTATGGATTTGTGTATGTGTTTGTACACTGCAGAAAAAACACATAGACATAGGCATGAAAGTGAATGAAATTTTACCAATACTTCTGGTTTGCATTGTTAATAAAACAAACAAACAGCAAAAGGAAAAGGAAAAGAAAAAAACAAACCATCCCAAGAATTGCTGGAAAGACAAAAGATGACTTTTCCATCTCTAACCTTTAAATCAAATAACCTATTATCTCCATGTTAATGTTCTGAGGTAATGCTGTGCTATAAAACAGGAATAGAAGAATCTGGTCTGTGTCATGAATAGGAATATTGCTGTCATTTAGATGAAGTTTTTAGTGTTAAATGTTTTAATATATTATTATGTTTTAACGTATGGTTATGTATTATCAATATATGTTCTTGTAATCTATCTCAACTGTTTAAGCCATAGTTGAAACTATTTCTTGAATAATCCTGTTTGAGGTGTATTAGGCATCTTGTTCTGTGTGGGAGAGTTCTAAAGTATCAGCCAACTCCTCCTGAAAAATAATTTTGAAAGATGATTATTTTTTCTGCCTTTAAAGATCAGGAGGGTACCCAAGAATGATTTCTAAGTGTTTCACTCGTTAGAGAAGTTCAACTTCCTTCTACAAGATGTTGGTTTTATGACACAAAAGTGTGTCATAAAAATTAACATTTAGTTATAACAAGGAGATGTTTTTATTTCACTTAACATCTGTAGCAGATGTGAAATATGTAATTATTTTTGTAAAAGACTTCATAACTTTCACGATTCTTTTGTTTGGCACATCTTTCTTCTATTGGGCATTTTAGACAATTGATAAGCATTATTCAGTGGCATATGGTCTGAGTCTGACGTGCTTTGAAAAGAGTAGAGAGTACTAATAATGAGGATTCTGTGAAAATGGGAAAACCAGCACAACAGATATGCTTTGAGAAAGTATGGGTTTTTAGCATCTTGAAACAATATATCACACTCAAAGGGACAGAATTGGGCTGCACAATCTGTTAGCTCATTCTTGTCCAATCTGGTCTCCTCCTTTCTTTTGGAGCCAGCATTGTCATCAACTTGCTGAATTATACTCTGACTGGAATGTATTTCAGGCACAGGGTAATGTATCTACTTAAATGGAATCCTATCTTTCTACAAAAGCTTTTTAAGTATAATAAATTTAAAATATAAAAAAAAAAGTTCTATTAGCTAAAAGTAAATGGTTCAACAGTTTACATATGTGCAGGAACAAAGAAAATGACTACTTAGTAGTTTCAGAAAAAATCTAGCTTGTTCAGAAATTAGAATAGAAAATGTAGAAATAGAGTTTGTTTTTTAGAATAAATATTTTGCAATGCTATTACAGTCCCACATTGGTTTTCAAAGGGTTTTTTTTATTAAAAGGCAGATTTATCATCCTAACGTTAGGAAAGCACAAGATATATTTTTGATTGTTCATAAGAAAAAAAACAAACTATGAAGCACAGCAAAACCTTTCTACATGGGCCCGATCCTGCCTGTCTTGGAGTCCAGGGAAAAAAATCCCTCCTTGCATTGGTGTGACACAGAGGTTTGTTTATGTCAGCACCATGCATATTTCCTTATATTATTTTCATAGGCTTTTTTCCATTCTTAAGATAAAATATATTTTCTTTACCCTTCTGTGAGTAAAACAGCATTACAGTTGTTTTCAGAAAGATAAGTAGCAATTAAGTTGTAACACTGCAGAAATGTTAGATTTGTTTAATAGCCACAGTGCTGTGTCTGTTTCTGGTTAATGAACTTGTTAATTGTGCCATTACTTCTTAATAGAAAGTTACAATATTCTTAGACTAAGCTGACATAAGAGTTATATTTTTAAATGAATTGTCATGAGAATGTTAAGCCTTGGATTGTGCCTATGGGTAAACCAGTTATGTTTATTACAGTGATTTATGTGAAAGTAAGGGGTCAGCTAAAAATTACTAGGATTCCCTGCTGCTAAAATGACAGGATAGTAGTACATGAGCCAGCTCTCCTGCTAAGGGTTCTTTAGTTTTCCTGTGGTAAATTACTCTGCTTTGCAGGTATGACTAACAGCACCACAGGCCATCGCTGTAATACAAGGCAGGGGGAAAAAAAATAACCACCACTGATTGTAAAAGCAAGAAGAACATCTTGGAATAAATTCCCAGCAGTGTGAATTTCAGATGGTTTATGCTGGTAACTGTATGGCACAAAGGTTTAGCTCAGGTTCTGTACTGAAAATAACTCACCCTGGAAAACGGCGTGTGAAGGAGCAGTCTAATCACTATAGACTAATCTAAACCAGCTAATTTGATCCCTGTACTGTTTAGAGGAGAAGGGAGTTTAGATTCATTATTTTCCCAATATCACATTCTGTGGATGGGAATAATGGAATAAATGTCATTGGAATTGGCTTGTTCCCTTCTATTAAAGCCATAACTGTCACAAGGTGCTGATTCTTGGTGGGGAGAAGAAAAATTAATTCAGCAACGTAGCGTTTTTATCCATTTTTGACTGCAGAAATGGAATAAAATACAGATGCATTTTTTTATTTGTAGCGTTTTTATTCATTTTTGACTGCAGAAATTGAATAAAATACAGATGCATTTTTTTATTTGTCAGATATTTACCAATTTTGTTTTCTATTTTTCATCTCAATTTCCTGTCAGATATATTCATATAGCTGTTATTTCTCAAAGTGTCTATATAAGCATAAGGAGCCTATACAGTATTAGTACCACTGCATAAATCCATATCACAAAAAGCTTTAATAGATTATCTAATATTTTTAGTATTGTATCTTGATGGTGATAATTGTAGAGAAAACAATATCGTTCTCATTTTATCCAGCTATTTTTTAGTCTTAGAAGCAAAACTCTTTAAGATAGGTCATAATTCATGTTGTCTACACTGCAGTCACATGTCTACATGTTGACTAAAGAAATCAAAGGTTTGCTGATTGTATCTAGATAGATAAACTTTATCCTTTAACATATCCTCCTTTCATTCAGCTCTTTACTCTGTTCTGCTTATCTACCCTTCTTCTTGCTTCTTTTGCCTAAATGGACTTATTCCCTCTTCACTTCTCAATTCATTGCTTTTTTTTTTGTTCTACTCCTTTTCTTTTCAGTGTTTTATAGTCACTTTCACTCTTTTCTTCTGTAAGCATCCTTTTCTTTTATACATGCCAGATCAGTTTATGCAACAAACCTTCTGTATCTTATAATGTAGGAAACTCTTAGGAACATCCAGACAAGTGCACTGTGAGGAGAAATAGTTTAGGAGCTTCCACTGACTGATCAAATTGAGTGGACCAAGGCAAAACTTGAACAATTTTTGTTTAATTGGGTTCTCTGTTACTTCCATCAGTTCTGGTTCTGTGAGTCAATACTACTTCAACAAATAGACTTTTGAAATGCTTTGTAATTTGCACTTCCTGACAAAACTGATTGATTTACAAAATCTATATTGTTTGTTTGTTTGTTTGTTTGTTTGCTTTAAAAGTCTCAACATGGTCTGTTATATCCTCTGGCTTGTTTTGTACCTTTTAAGGATTCTTTTTATAACAGTAGTAACATATTACTGGAGTTTAAATATGTGAATAATTTTATCCACATTCAAGTCTGAGAATTATAAAACCCAGCAAATATTTGGAGAGGTTATAGTTGTCAACAGTAGAAGTACACCACCTCAGAGACCTAAATAGAAAAGAAATGATGCAGGTATCATATCTCAGTACTTTGAGATTGTCAGTCCAAGATGAGACTGAACACTGTGTCCAAATTAATCAGCTACCCTGACTAATTTGTTCTACACTGCTATTTTTCCTCTAACCTTGGCTATACCTCCTATGTTAACCATGAATGATGCTGCCCATAAGTATGCAATATCATCATGCCACTGCTGGTGGCACCAGGAAACCACTAATAAGAGCATAAATTTTAAAGTTCCTGGCTATAATTATATTAAAATCACATGAAGTAATAAATGGCCTTAGAAATAATAATAAAAATAATATTGAGATGTAAAATCATGAAACAAGACGGTTCTGTTCATTATTGCTGAGAGGTTTTTCACAGATGTCATCTAGAGAAATAAATAAGCTCATTATCAAATTTACTACTTGAAAATGTAGGCAAGAAAAGTGCTTCAAATGATAGTACTTAAAATGATTTCGTGCAGCCATTGGCATGAGATTGGAAAAACTCAGTAATAGCAATAAAAATAGGTTTTTGTCTGGGCTTCTAAAAGTTTTAAATGAACATATAATATATGTCAGATTTCACCACAGTCTTTAAATTACATATTCACACTTGGAAAAAAATTCAAATTAATTTGCATTTCAGCATGTGAATGGGAAGGTTCCTTGATGAATAATAATTGCAAAATTATCAAACTAAAGAACTGTGTCTGTCTTTTCAAAGACATTAGAGAGAGACGAATTTCTTTTTGCCGACCGGCGTTATGTTACTGGTTGCAGGGATTTGCTGTGTTTTTATATCACTTCTAACCCCTTTGATACTAGGGATTGCATTAAACAAACACAGAACAGAATGCACAGCATTTGCCAGACCTGTCAAGGTATTTTCAGCATTTTCATTTCCTTGTCTGTCTTACTTAGCATGTCGATAAAATAATGTGCATTTTTTTAATTCCCCATCATTAATTTTATTTTTTTAGCCTATAACTCTTAAACTGTTTTAGTCTCAAACTGTTCTCAGACTGAAGAAGGCTCCGTTTTCCTGTTTGTATGAACGGTGTTGAGCAAATTCTTCTTGCTGTTAAAAAAAAAAGAGTCTATAACAACCCTAAAAGTTTCACATTTCTGAGCAATCTGTTTTGACCCATGCAATTGTTCTTTCTGTTGCAGATGAATGACATTATAGCAACAGTTAGAGATTCAAACCTGAAGCTGACACTTGCTTTTGGAATAGGCATGCACCACGCAGGGCTGCACGAAAGGGACAGGAAAACCGTGGAAGAATTGTTTGTGAACTGCAAGATCCAGGTAGGAGTGTTCCGTTTGAATCCTGCCGTAACGAGTTTTACATGGGATTTTAAAAGTTGGCTTTTTGTTACCTATACCTCATTAATCTTTCTTTCTGTTTCAGGTTCTTATTGCCACCAGCACATTAGCTTGGGGTGTAAATTTTCCAGCTCATTTAGTAATTGTTAAAGGAACAGAATACTATGATGGAAAAACAAGGCGTTACGTGGATTATCCCATTACAGGTACTCACATAAATTATGAAAATGTTGATATGCTGAAATTTGTTTCAAGCATATGCAAATTATCTGAATTCTTTAGTCACTTATCACTGAAAATGCCTAATTTGGGTAGAGACTAGGAGAGATGAGGAAAGTGTTTCTCTGCTTCTTGCAAGTTGTAAGAGAACTCTGAAGATTTTATGTAATAATAAAAATTTTGTTTTGCAAATCTTATTTTGTGCTAAATTCCTTTAATGTGTATCATCCAAAATAGACAGTAAACAATTAAAGGGACAATGTAAAGTCCTATTTAGCTACCTAATTAATTGTATAAAAGGAAGTTTTCATATGTATGGATCTTTTTTTTTTTTCATTTTTTTCAAACTTTTTAAAATAGAAACAGATTTTTTAGCAGCAAACATAGCCATGGTGTGAAATGCAAATGTGTTGAATCACATGTGTGACAAAATAAACTGTATACATAGTCAGTTGACAGTAAAAAAAAGCCCTTGACTAGTCTGGTATCTTCAGTGATGTAAGTGATACTTCAGAAAGAAGCAGCTAAATTAAAGAGTTGAGTTTCTGGCTTGATACAGACCTTTATTGCTTTCTGGCTCCAGTAAACTCCAGGTTTCATAAACTGTTCTGCAGTTTTTTCAACAAGCTTAAGAAAGTGAACCATGGAAGACTTTTTTCAAAGCTCAGACAGGGAGAATATTTGTCTGGATGGTACTAAGCTTGAAGAATGAGGACAAGCTAAATTTCTTCCAGGTTTCCTGTTCTGTTTTCCCTTTCTCTTTTCACAAGAGAAAGTTTATTATTCAATCATTCTATGCTACACTAGTGATTTGTACACCTAAGGACGGTCTAAATGTTATCTGTAAGGTAAATAGAGAGCTGCATCTTTTTAGCTACGCTGTCTTTTCGGCAAGAGAAGTTTGGTAATGAAAAAAGCTTAAACTGAAAATACTACAGGGGTTAGTTCTTCAAGTAACCCATCATAGAGCTTAATTTAGTGGTTAGTGCTCTGCAGGAAACTTGGGATCAATTTCCAGACCAGCTCTCTTGTTCAAAGATTCTGGTATGACCTGGGAGCTTAGCCATGCACACTCGTATTTTGTGAGAGACTTTGGCTGATGTAGACTTAGTAAAAACAGTGTCTGCAGCGAAATACTATCTGACTCGTGCCGACTGGAACCACAGCCACGACCCACTCTGTTACTGAAGGAGGAAAAGTGGCCAGGAAAGAAACCACCTGAAGCTTTAAATTTTATATTTTCTCTATGGGACTGTCAGAAATCAGTAATAGAGAAAATGATATATTTGAAAGAAATCAGAAACTCGATAAGTATTGAAGACTTACTATGCTGTTTTAGGAATTTGTTGTACAAAGTACTCACAAAGACTTTAGGGACTGATGATACTTTGCCTCTTTATTGCCTTTTTTTTCAATGCAGGTAGCTTCAACATAGGGGGTTGTTCAATTCCTGAGTTTTCAATCAGATTTGGGGTGGGGGAGGGGGTGGATGTAATCCCACCATCTGTGATGGAAGCATTGAGATTTTGTTGCCTGTGCTGCTACAGAAAATGCAGATTCCTTACTTTATGAAGAAACATGTGGTGTGGTTTGCCTAAAGCATTTTTATTTTTAACTTTCTAGAGAATATTTATGCATCTGGAAGTTCTGTGGATAGGTAGTACAGTTTTGCAGCAGCAATAAAATGAAAATGTAATTAATTTCTTTCTGAAAGACTTCCAAAAATTTCACAATGCTGTCTTTAATGCTGTCCTCAAGTTCTGCCTTCACTGTTCTGTCGTGGTATTACTTGGTTTCTCCCTACTGAACTTACCTTCCTGTATCAGGAATACATTTGGCTCCAAGGAAGAAGCTGATGGCAAAATGAGTCACTCTGGAGTGTTCAGTAATTTCAAAATAAGTAAGAATGCTTCTTTGAGTGAAATCAGAGGTTTTGGGGAGGGCCTTTTCTCAGTTACCAGACATTTATTTAGTCAGCCAGTTGGATCATATTTAACATTTCAGGACTTTAATCCAGTGATTAAAAGCAGCCAAGCAACATAGAGTTCTTAAAGAAAATATTGGGTTTGGATAATTACATAGTGGATATTGGCAAAAATAATTTCCCAATGCTTTTTGGTAAATCCATTTCCTATATGATATTATGCACAGTTGAATTCACCACATTAGAATAGCAAGAAGTAGTTTCATCACCCTCCTGTGCACATAACTGTTCAGGAGCAGCATATTTTAACTAGTTTCATTTTACATTTTAATGTCAGTCCTAAACTAACAAAGGGAATAAACTGATAAAATACATTGCTGTCTATATAGGTTTTGGACTGTCTGTTTCTCCTATAATGGTCCTTTGCTGTATCCCATTCTCTACCCTCTGGATTTTCCTTCCCCAATTGAGCTTTGGGCCAAAAGTGTATTGATTCTGAACCCAAAGAAATCTCTTTTTAAAGCACCAAGTACTGTAAGCCACATGTTGGGCAGGTATGATAGAGCTCATAGTTGAGCTTTGGACCAAAAGTGTATTGATTCTGAACCAAAAGAAATCTCTTTTTAAAGCACTAAGTACTGTAAGCCATATGTTGGGCAGGTATGATAGAGCTCATAGGGGATGCGCAAAACATAAAAAGTTTTAAAATAAAGATGTACAAGTTATTTATGAATTACCTTCTGTTGTTTCCTCTAAATTAAATAGCCATTTGATGCACCAGAAAGGAATCAGAGCTCTGTTGAATAAGACACAAAACAACCTATGCAGATGCACTTCTCTGATGGCACAAGAGAAGACACAAACAAATAGATGATAAGCATAGTTATCATGGTGGCCAGATAGCAAGTTGAGCATGTTTTGCATAAACTAGTATTTTCAGTGTTTAAAGAAGTCATTAACTAGTATTTGCAAGTACATTTGTAGACAGAGTAGTAGCTGTACCAGCTTTTAAATTTATATATCGTGATCTGATATAGGGACGAGATATGATACAAACCCATCTCTGCTTCAGTGCTAATGTCTAATAGAACTTGTCCTGAAGTTTGAGTGGCAAATATCATAGCATTCAGTACCATTCTATCTCTAAAATGCTCAAAATCTAGGAAATCATACCTAGCAGAAAAGCTTACGCCAGGAACTTGTATAAGAGTGAGGTTAAATATTTGAAAGTTAGGAAACAATAGGCAGTTGCTATTGTAGCCTTCAAGAGTTCTCTTACTCCTTATCTTTCATTGCATATGATGAAATGAGGGATGGATATGGAATGGAAGGAGAATAGAGGAAATTTATATTAGATATGAGCTTGGATTCTGTTGCAGTCTGTAGTCTTCTAAGGATGCAGGAAGAGAGTGTCTGCAAGAAAGAAGTTCATCATCAATTGACCTGAAATGGAAAAAAAATTAGATATGCGAAAGAATGCCAGGCCAAAGTAATCAAAAAATCCTGTATTGCACATTATAGAGACATAAATACAGTTATTTATACATGCAAACAAATACATTTGGTTTATCCATTATTGTCTCTTTGGCAGATGTACTTCAGATGATGGGACGTGCTGGCAGACCACAGTTTGACGACCAAGGGAAAGCTGTCATTCTCGTTCATGATATTAAAAAAGACTTCTACAAAAAATTCCTGTATGAACCTTTTCCAGTGGAATCAAGGTAAAGATAAAGCAATCGGTAAAGCTGATCAAAATATAAACAGTACTACAAATGGTACTGCAGGGAAGAGGGATCCAAGAGAGTTGGTTGTTATTTAAGGCTCATTTCCTCCAGGCTCAAGAACGATGCGTCCCAAATGAGAAAGGGCACATGAAACCTCTGTGGATGAACCAAGGACTGCTGTCATAACTGAAACATAGGCTAGAAATGCATAGGAAATGAAAGTGGGGTCAGGCCACTTGGAACGAATAGAGAGAGGTGGACAGAGGAGGTTGATATGAGATGAGAAAGGCCAAGGCCAACCTAGAATTGAATCTGGCCAAGGGTGTCAAGAATAACAAAAAGGGCTTTTATAAACCCATAAATACCAAAATGAAAACAAAGGATAATGTGGGGAAAGGACCCTGATATCAGAGGGTGCAGAGAAGGCAGTTATTGAATGCCTGGTTTGCATAGTCTTCATGGATAAGATCAGCCTGCAGGGATCTCTGACCCCAGAGACCAGGATAAATGAAGGTGGGGAAAAAGAGTTTCCTGTACTCAAAGAGGATTAGGTCAGAGAACACCTTATTAAACTGAGCATCCACAAGTCCATGGGCCCTGATGCAATGCATCCATGAGTGCTGAGACAGCTGGTGGACATCATAGCCAGGCTGCTCACAGTCATCTGTGAAAAGTCATGGAGACCAGGAGAGGTGCCTGAAGACTGGAAGATGGCAAACACCACCCCAATCTTCAAAAAGGGCAAAAAGGAAGATCCAGGGAACTACCAGGCAGTTAGCCTAACCTCAGGCCCTGGAAAGGTAATGGAACACATCATTCTGGAGGCCATCTCTGCCCACATGGAAGACAAGAACATGATCAGGAGTAGTCAGTGTGGGTTGTGTTTGACCAACTTGATTGCCTTCCATGATGAAACAACTGCCTGGATGGATGAAGAGAGAGCAGTGAACATTGTCTGCCTTGACTTCAGCCAGTGTGTCCCACAGCCTCCTCACTGGAAAACTTAAGAAGTCTGGGTTGAACGAGTGGACAGTAAAGTGGATTGAGAACTGGCTGAGCAGCAAATCCAAGAGAGCTGTGATCAGTGGCACAGAGTCCAGTTGGAGGCCTGTCACTACTGGCATCCCCCAGGGTTTCACACTAGGCCCAGTTTTGTTCAACTTACACACCAATGACTGGGATGAAGTAGTTACATTGGTCTCCTATAGATGCATGTTTCATGGAGGAATTCTCAAACATCTGATAAAGCATGAACATTTCTGAAAGCTTTTCCAAGTGATCAAGAATTCACAGTGTTGTTCTCCTAAGGAAACTTCAACTAAGCAATAATGGGACCTCTATCTGCTCAGGAAGTTTGTAGGAGCTTGAGAGAGCAATCCACCCGTGAAATGTAGTTGAAATGGGATGGTATACTTGAAGATTCATTTCTCTGGTGCACTGACAGACATACTATTTTTGTGGAGACACAGGCTTCATTTCCTTAGGAAACCACACTTTTTTAAACATAGAAATTGTACTTAACAGAAAAGGCTAGGAGTTGAACTTCTTCAAAGTGATAGCTAATAAGTCTAAAGAGTGGTGTGATTCAAATATTGGTGATATATCCAGACTGCATGGCACTAGCATAAACTAAGGAATCTCTCTATTCCTTGGCAAGTGGTGCTTCTAAATAAATAAATCATTTCTTCAATATAACAGTGGTAATCACACCTTCCTCCTGTTTGGAAGACTATAAATATTCTATGTGTATAGGAGCTCATTTTGTGTGTATATATTTACTTTGTAGTTTGATATATTCCAACTTACTATAAACAAAGAATATTTGATACATTTTCAGGTAAAATTAATAACAATCTCATTAATTTCTCTGTAAGTTGTGAACGGATTAACTTAGGTTTCTTTTGGTTTCTTTTATGATAAAGCATTTGAAGTAAGAGGCTTCGTGTCTTCAGCGAGAAACTGTTTAGGGTTTTTTGAAGGTTTTTAGTTTTGGAATGCTTTCCCATCTGTTCTACTGAAGAGCAGATTTATCAGCTTTGTGTAATATTTCCAGTTTGTAAAAATAAGCTTCATATTTTTTGAATGAAAGGTTTGTCTAAAAACTGTTGTCTATGTATTAGTTGTAAGACTTGAGTGCTCAACTCATATAACAGGCCTTGTGCTCTCCCTGATCATGGGTCTGAAACACAGCACTCATTTTTATGGGACAGCTATGGAATCATCTGTCTGGTTTCTGTTGGACAATCTGTGTAGAGTGTCTGCAGTTCTGACCTTTGGAAATGTGCAATCAGTGGAATAGAGCAGTGACACAGCTACTCATGCCAAATTATTCTTTACTTAGCAATAG